GTCTCAAGAAAGGAAAGATTGGCAGATGGTAGCTCCTCACACTGAGTGGAGGACATGATACATGCCTGCCAGCACCAGGTGGACAGTATAGCTACTGTATCTGAGTGGGTTTTGGGTGCCCGACCCTATGTCAAAGGCCTCTCTGGATTAGAACATATGATTATCACAGCCCACATCCTGGTTTTACAGGGAACCTCAGGCCCATTTGCCATCAAATAGGGGAAGTAGATCAAGCCTGCACCTAGTCCTAGCCACTGGGTGCCTTACTTGGGGTATATGTTTGCTCACTAGAGCATATCAGTGAGCTTGTGTGCCTGCAACACAAATGTAGGGGTCACCCCTAGGAGTGTGCTTATGGTATACATATCTCACATATGTTCCTCTTTGATTGAGTTCCTGTATGCATTCGCTGGTTTGTGTGTGCAGCCTATAACTGTACAGAGGCATGGCAAACTGTGGTAGGCACTGTGGACAGTGGCTCCGGAGTCAAGTTCTGCAGCCATTCCCTTGGTCAACTTTGAATCTCAATTGTCAATGGATGCCTACTCTGAATTTCTGGATTCCTAAAAGGTCCCAAGCCCCACCTGCGCAACAACTTCCTTCTGGGGCACCAGACACTTTGAGGAGTGAAATAAAATCTGCAGGGTGGACACAATGGGGTGGAGAAGTGGAGGCGGCCACAACTTCAGTGACCGCAGAGGTAAGGTAGTGGGGAAAGGGATGATTATCACAGTAAAAACAGAGGATGTGGTGCTGGAATATGGACAGGCGAGGGAGGTGACTAACCGTCTGTATAGCATGTCCTAGATGAGATGAGCTCACCACCCCTGGCAGAGTGAACCAGGGCTTGAGAACAGCCCATCCTACTGCCTAACGATGACTCCTCCCACCTGAGGGCAACTCCGCCCACCTCTTGAACAGTGGTCCGGTCTTCCAGATGTTGGTGTTGCCCACGCAACCCCGCGGCGGGTCAGTGATGTTCTCCTTCTCTAGGAGCTCATGAACTGCCTGAGCCACCACGCCCACGGCGTCACTGATGTGGGCCGACTCATTCTTGCCGTTGATGAGCTGAAGTCCGATGATGCCTGCGTGACCCCGGAGATTAGAAACTGAACAAATAAGCCTACGGTCCCAAGCAACCCCACAACCCAGCACTCACCATCAGGAGCGTAGCGCAGGGCGTTCCCTGAGATCTCGCGCTCCCCCACCAGCCACACGTACCCAGAGCCGGTCATGTTCAGCATCGCAGCTGCGCGGTATACGGTGGCAGCGTCGTCCTCGCTGTGGGGCAGACCCGGGTGACGAGCCAGGACTCCACCTCTCTCCCTACCCCTGGCCACAGCCTCTCTCCACGCTCTAGAGAGCGTGCCTGTGCCCACAGCCCTTCCAGCAGCTAGCCCCGAAGGTCTGCACAGGAGATAAGGCTGGACCCAGGACCTTTTCAGTCTTCAGCTGCTGACTTCTGCCTTTAGGGTACAAGATGACCTTCCAAACTTGGATAATGATGGCACACTGTTGGACACTTGCTCTGTTCTCCAAATACTATGCCGGAACCATCTCAGCATTTTTACAGGGAAAGCATTTGAGTCAGGGTACAGTGGTGATAAGTGGCAGAGTAGGGTCTGTGCCTGATAGTTCAGTCCAGCGCCTGTGACCCAGTGAGCTCTAGGCAAGCCATATACCTTGTGGAACTTCCTGCTCAAGGGTGTGAAATGACAAGGGGAGGGCTCTGGGCTGAGGAGATGTCAGTAAGATCCAGCACTCTAGTTGCTGAGCTGAGCATCCTGAAGATACTACTGAGCAGAAGAGAGACTGGTCTCCCAGTAGCTATATCCCCTGACATCCAAGGCCAGGGCCACCAGGACAAGTCTCACCTTGCAGGGCCATGTGCTTGAGGTGCCCTCATAAGTAATTCCTGTGAACAGTGAATCAGGGGACCTAGTCTCCTGAGGCTGTGTCTCCCAGGTCATGACAATGAGTCTGGGGTCTTTCAGGTCTCCTCTCCTTACCCTGCTCATGTGAGACTCTTCCATTCAGGGCCCAACCATGACTGGCTTACCCAGTGCATATTTAGCAGGTACAGTAAAGACAAGTAGATTACCTGATATTGGGTATTTTTTTCAAACTTTTAAGGTTAGCTTAGTTTATGTGTATTAGTGTTGCCTCCAAGCATATGTGTGTACCAAACAAGTCTCTAGTGCCTGTGGCCATCAGAAGATGGTGTCAGATCCCCTAGAAATTGGAGTTATGAATGACTGTGAGTCACAGTGGGTGCTGAGAACTGAACCTGGGTCCTCTGCAAGCACTAGGCCATCTCTCTAGCCCTTACTGGGTTATTTTTATACCAGATGATTCATAACCAAGATAAACCCCAGTTCCCTGAGAAGCCTGCTCCCAACTTTCTCAATGATTAATTGTAACAAAAAAAAAAATGCTCAACATTAAAAAAAACCTAAGCAGTTCTTCAGCCTATATAGGCCAGAGCCAAATGTGACTTTAATTCCAAATATGACTTTAATCCCACCATTTGGGAGATAGAGGCAGGCAGAGTCCCACAAGTTCAAGGCCAGCTTGGTATATACAAGTTCAAAGACACAGAGAGACCCTGTCTCAAAACTAATGAAACTAAAATAATATAGGACATGAATGCTGTACACTGAACATGGAAGAGCTCACTACACCACACGTGTCAAGGAGCATGTCTGATGTCAGCCATACCCACCAAATCTAATGGAGAACCCCATCTCCCAACACAACTCAGATGTACACAATGTCACTTGGTAGAATGATTGTGATCAATGAAATGGTTATAGAAAAAAAGTCTGGTCAATCCACCAAACCTCACCAGACCATTTTATAGAAATGTGAGAAAAATAGAGATGAAAAGTTTTGGAAATGAATTTTGTGTATCCTATAGACAAACAAAGCCTGAAAAACAGCTTAACCTCTATCATGAAGAAGGAGTCAAAATGTGATGAGGGCTGGGTCCTCCCTTACTTGACATACATGAGCTTGAGGTCCCACGGGTTCTTTGGGGTTTAAAAAACAGTGTGCATTGTGAATATAACTCAGTGTAGTGAAACATGCAGTATATTCATGTGAGGCATCATCTGTAAATGGCATAAATATGGTGCATGCCGATGTGTGCTTATTTGTATGTGAATGCTGTGTGCATATATGTTGTTTGCTCAATGTGCCAGTGGGTGGTGTCCATGCATCTCATAGTCATGTTAGTATCTATGTCTCCCATGACCCTTCTGCTGACTTCTTTGATATAGCCATGTCTGGCAAGCTTCTCTGTAAACCTTGGGCCATCAACATGGAGGAGTCTCTTCTCACCCTATGTCCCAGGAAAGGGGAGACTCCCTTCAGTTGTGGTGGGTGGCCATGAAGTAGCTCACATCCACTCTTCTGCTGGGGCCTGACTGTGGTGGGATTCTATGAATGGCTGTTTTCTGGCTTGTATTCTGTTCACCCTCATTATAATACATAAGTTAAACAGGTCTATTTGGCTTTGCCCATTACAAAGAAAGCCTAATAGTTGAATAGGTATGTTTTAAAAGAGTGGCTTCCTTAGTAACACTGACCTCAAGAAGGTCTTCATGCCCACTATTCTGAACATTCTTTTATCTGAATTAAACAAATCTCCCTTAAGCCCTATGATGAGAAGTATAAACAACCAGAAAACGGGAGAGAAAGGGGCATTTCCTGAGCAGGCTTCTTCTTGGGCAACCTGTGCTGGGCTCGCCTTCCAAAAGCCTTTTCTGCCCTGCTCTCTTTTCTGGACACATTTCTCTCTCTCTCCCTACTTCGTTCATCCCTCCCTCACTCTGATAGGGTCTTATGTAGCCAAAGCTGGCCTTGAACTTGCCAAGTACTTGAGAATGGTCTTGAACTCTTGATCCTCCTGGGCCCAAGCGCTGGGATTACAGACGTTCACCATTATATCTGTTTTTCTGTGGTGCTGAAGAGCAGATCCAGGGAATTGTTCATGCTGGGTGAGTGTGCTATCAACTGAGCAATATCCCTGGCCTCATCTGAATGTGTTTTTAATCCACTCTTTAGAAGCTCCAGAACATCCCTTACCCCAAAGTATGCAGTTAAAATCAGTTGTTCTCTCGGATGTAGCCCATGGTAGCTCAGTAACCAATTTGTTTCCCATAGTAAGGGGAACAAGGACTATTTCTAACAGGAACTCAATGGCTGGCTCTTTGACCTCCCCACCCCCCAAGGGAGGAGCAGTCCTGTTAGGCCACAGAGGAGGGCTTCGCAGCCAGTCCTGAAGATACCTGATAAAACAGGGTCAGATGAATGGGGAGGAGGTCTCCCCCCTATTCGTGGACTTGGAAAGGGGCAGGGTGGAGATGAGGGAGGGAGGGTGGGATTGGGAGGGAATGAGGGTCGGATACAGCTGGGAAACAGAGTTAATAAAATGTAACTGATAAGAACAAAATAAAATAAAAAAAATAAAATCAGTTGTTCTCAATCCATGGGTCAACACCCCTTTCGGGGTTGCATATCAGATATTTACACTATGATTCATAACAGTAACAAAATTACAGCTATGAAGTGGCAATGGCATAATTTTATGGTTGGGGTCACCACAACATGAAGAACTGTTTTAAAGGGTGCAGCATAGGAAGGTTGAGAACCACTGAGTTAGATGAATGGCAAAGGCAAATGGTCTGTGACTGTGCAGTCGGTGTAGCGTTAGGCCATGGTGTGCGTGTAGCGCTAGGGGGGAGATGGCACGCGCTTGCTGGTGCTCCTGGTGGAGCTGGCGAAGCCGAGGATACCATTCAACACCACAGCTGACCACCTCACAGTGTCACCCTCACAGTGGAGCAACTAGTCCCAGCCCTGCCATTTAAGTGAAGACATGGTTTGCTTCCTAGGCTGAGTCCTGTTGCCTGACCCTGCAATCTGTGGGCAGTGGGCAGTATGCATCTGGCTGTGCAAAGGGAGAGTTTGTCGATTAAATCTGCAAACACCTATCTATCCTGTCCCTTTTCTGTCAGCAGCACAGCAGAATTGGGGGTATTTTCCTCCAAGGTGGATGACATGATGTTTTTTCTCCATTCTATTGGAGCTCAGCAGAGCCATGCACACTAAGGACTGGATTCACCTGGGCCTCTCTGTTGTCAAGGGCTGCTCCCATTTTTCCTTTCCACGGGTCTTAGGCTCCGGGAAACCTAGTTGTTTGTTCATAGGGAGGGTTTACTGTGTACACTTTCACAGCTGGAATGGGTTGGAGGTAGCTGTCTAGGAGCAGCCTGTTTCATGTGTCCCCATCAGTGGTTTTAAACTTGTGCTCACCTCTATACCGGCATATCATTTTGCTGGGCTCCTTCTCTGTTGTCAGCCCTCAGGATATTTACATAGCTGTGCCTCCCAGGCCCGGGGTTTCCCAGCACTGTATCTACAACCCCCAAACTTTAGGGTGAATGGTACTATGCAACTGCAAAAAGGGGAGAAGCAAGGGAGGGGTAGGCAGGATGAGGGATGGCTCAGCTCCAGGTGAGTAGGAAATGGTGAGATGGAATACAGCTCTCTCCTTGCTGAAGATCTTTTGTTGGTTTTTTTAAGATTTATTTTTATTTTATGTCATTGGTGTTTTGCTTGCATGTATGTCTGTGTGAGGGTGCCAGATACCTTGGAAGTGAAGTTACATGTGAGCTGCATGTGGGTGATAGGAATTGAACCCTAGTCCTCATCTCGTGCTCATACCCAATGAGCCAGCTCTCCAGCTCCAAGTGAAGATTTTTGTTTTTTTCCAAATTGAAGCTCATTTTGCACAATAGTGCCCCAAACCTAGGCCAGATGGTGGACTTTTGCCCCAGGCAGAATCACAATGATGTGGTGAGAAGCCCAGCCTACTCACCTTGCAGAAAGGATGATGACCCGGGCTTCCAGTTCCCGCGCCTCCATCAGCAGAGCCGTCACATTCTTGGTTCCTGGGTCAAACTGCAGCACCTTCTCTGCCTGTGGTATGAGCAGGAGCGTTAACAGGCAGCTAGGAAAGGCAACATTGTGCCTCAGTGGCAAGAGTGGGGCCAAAGCTGCTAGGAGCCCCGAGGCAGCTTAGCTAGAGCTGCTGTGGCTGTCCTTGCCGCCTGCACTGTGCACTTGCGTCCTCTCTCTTCGCTGGCCTGTCCTTGCTGCCTGTCTTTTCTTCAGCCTGCTTGATGTCCTGTACTCTCTCTGCTCCTCTCTCCGTATGTTTTCTCCAGGTCTGTCTTTCCATCTCACTCCTGTCCTCATTTTTGCACTGAGCATGCAAGCTGAAGTGGACCCAGACTCAGAGACGTGCAGCGAACAGGAAATAGAAAAGTTTTGGAATGCAACTGGGAACAGAGATGGGGCTGACTTTTCCAAAACCTTTGGAGATCTCAGCTCAGACCTGATTCCTCTTGCTCCTATAGGAGCGGCCCAGACTCTGAAGTGACCAGGTGGGCAGGCTCCCTCCCTGGGTTCCACTAAGAAACCCTGGCGGGCCTGGAGATTCGCATGCACTTCCCAGAGCAGCGCCTCCTGTGGCCGTGCTGGTCTTGAGGGTTACGGCGGGCGGGTGGGCCATGGGCACCCACACCGCCCACCCCTGCCCTCTCCTGCCTGCCTGCTGCCTTTCTCACCACCTGTCTCTCCTCACTACTCAGGCCTGCGGCTCGGCTCGGTGGGCCAGACAGCACCCAGTGGCTGAGGCACCGCGGGCCGGGGCTCGCTAGTCGGTAGGTGGCGTGCACGTCCATGCATATATACCTTGGGTCCGCGCTTGTTGTCATAGGACAGTTGGTCGAGGTTTTCATAGTTCCTTTTTTTACTCTGATGAATAATGTGCACAGAGAAAATATGCAGACACAGAAGAAGATTATAAACGGTTGAAAATGACGGCGCTAAAGCAATCACACCACCTCCTCGGCACATCTGCAGACGGGCACGTACCTGGAGCTCGCAAACACCGAGACCTGAGTGGGGCTGGGGACTGGGGTGGAGAGCTGAGGGTGGAGGGGACATAGGGGCAAGGGCCACGGAGGCTCCCGGCCATGAAGCTATACTCTTGGAAACAGTCACTGTCAGGAGAGAGGGTAGCCCTGTCCGCCACCCTTGGGGGTCCCGCTGCCACCCCCACCCCTGTCATGCACCTGCTGTGTGGCCCCAGCAGTACCCATCCCCACGCACATCAGTCCTGAGTGAAAGAGGAGCAGCTTGCAGAGCCCTGTTCCCATGACCCTCCCTCACCTCCCCCTTGTCTTCCCTCCTGCACTCTAGAGACCAAGAGATCCTCTTCTCATTAACTGGTATGTTCACACCCAAATGCCCCACATTTGTGTCTAAGACTGAGTGTGATTGGATGTGTATATATATATGCTCATCACCTTCATAGAAGATAAGCCTATGGCAGTCAGTGATGGAAGGGCAGAATAGTATAAGCATGTGTGTGTGTGTATGTGTGTGTGTGTATGTGTGTGTGTGTGTGTATGTGTGTGTGTGTGTGTGTGTGTGTGTGTGTGTGTGTTTAAGCTTGTGGTTACAAGCCAGGGTAAGCAGGCACATTTGCATGAGGAAGTACTTGTAGGTGATCCTCTTGCACAGTGCAGGAGTATATAGAGATGGAGTGAGGTCTGTCTTTCCAAAAGGTGTGGCGTGCCTCTCAACTATCCAAGAACTGAGAAACAGTGTGTATGTGCTTATGAGTGTGTGAGCAGACGGTTGGGTGTGCAGGGGTCAGGCTGATGAACAGGTGAGCATATGGGTAGGATGTGTGCTATGACGAACAGAAGTGTGAAGGAACCTGTCAGATGCTGAGAGTGGAACTATCTTCACAGAGGTGGAACCCTTGGTGCTAATAACCATCCCTCCTTCCCAGACTCAGTGGGCCACCATAAAGAGTTCACTCTGGGCCTGCCTCTAGCTTCACCCCTCCCCCGAAGCCTCTCTACTCCTTCCAAAGACCTATGCCATCTTGGGTGTGGGGATAATGGTTGGTGCTAAGTATGATGAGGCCAGCTATGATTTTGCAGGCAGAACATGCTCCCACCCGTCTCCCTCCCTCAGATGCCTTTTGTGGCCCCTCCCCAGCCTGGGCCTCCTTCTTTCTGCTACCTAAAAAGCACCATGTGGTGCTTGGTGCTGTGGGCCCTGGGACTAAGGAAGGATCAGGGGCTAGAGCCTTATTAGGCTGACCATGAACGTTGGCAAGGAAGGGCATAGGGGTCACTTTGACCCCCACCCAAAGCTGGCTCTGGTCTCTGGCAGTTCTACACACTGGGGGCCAGGCTGAGATGGGAATGTATGTGTATCCTGGCATCAGTGTCTACATAGTCCCATGAGGGATGTAGAGCTCAGCCCTGAGGTGGGAGGGAGGTGGGGAGGGCAGGGCACAATGTAAGCCTAAATAGATAGCACAAGGTGGAGATGGCGTTGCAGATGAATGGCACTTCAGTTAGGGCCCTGGGCAGCCATGAGGCAGCAGGCTTTCAGAAGATGAGACTTCTGTGAGCACACAGATTGTATCCCAGCAGATAAAGGACCCCAGTGCTCTCTCTGGGGAGGGACTCTGTAGAAGGTGTCTCAAAAGATATATGGGACTTGGTGTCTGGCAGAGAGGGGCTGAGCAGGTCCTGAGTTATGGGTCTGATTTCTGGGGCCTTGGCTGGGTTTAGGGAGGCCTAACACTGGGCGCGGGACAGGGGTGTTTGCAGAGCTCCAGGTGGTCCAGCCCTCGCGCAGCAGGGACTGACAAGAAGGAGATTTCGACTAATGGCAAAAGCAAGTGAAATGAGCCGAGGACAGGCCAGGGCGGGCGCCGCCAGACGCAGTGGTGCTGAGCATGCAGGATGGAGAGAGAGTGTTCACAAGGAGCCACAGACATGGCATGGCCCGCCTGCTCCTGCTCAACAAGGACCTCTGCAGGGCCAGGGCCTCACCTTGGATTCCCGCTCCTCTAGCAATGTCTCTAGGCGCTTCTGTGCTGCCCGGCCCTCATGGTCATCACTGACCAGCAGGATGATATGATTCCAGTTGTAGACACGCATCATCTCAAACCAGACGCTGGACTGGTGGGAGTAAGGTGGCACGGTGCGTAGGAAGCTCAGGTGGATGCTCTGTGGGTGAGACCAAGAGGTTGAGGAAGGGCCAAGCTGAGCAGGCTTTCCAGTCTCCCACTATTGGGGTCACTACCTCCCACCTGCCCTTCTTCTTCCCCTGTAAACATCTATTGTGAGAGTAGAAGCTTGACACTTTTCCAGCACACCCTGACATGAATGAAGAGCCTCTGTTTCTAGGGGTGCTGCCACCTTCCCACCATTCCTAGAAATGCTGACCATAGAAGCTTCTCCAAGACCTCAATGAGCCTCACATGGTGCTCTCCACAGTTTCAATAATAGTATTTGGGGCAGGGGTATATTGGTAGAACATTTGCCTAGTACAAACGAGGCCCAGACACTGGTAAAAAAAATAATAACTGCATATATAGAAAATAAAAACTAGCAATAAAAACTTCTTCTCTTTTGAAACCAAACATTACATTTCTTCTCTGGAACCCAGTGGCTGCAGCTTACTAGTCACTGTGCTGTCGAAAGACTGTAGCTGCCAAGGACTATTTCCGTCTATGCCGGTGAATGAGGCTCCTTCCATATCCTTATCATTTATACTGCTCTTGGTTCACTGAGGCTTCTAGGTTAGTTTTTACCAGTTAGTTCCCTCTTGATGGCCAGGGGCAGTGCTTTGGAGTGAAAGAATGTTCACTGCCTCTGCAACAGGCTGCAGGCAGGCTGCACTACAGATTGGCTCTGAGTGGTCCTGCTGGCCTGCATGATGGGCAGAAGGCTGATTTTGAGTTGGAACCATCAAGGATCAGAGTGTGCCTGTGATGTTTGGCTCCACTGTTGGCCCCACACAGGTCCTGTAAGTTGGCCTGTAGTCAGTCCCTAGGTTGGTCCTTTTGTATGGGGCCTCCCAGCTTCTTGTTTTTCCCTGGCTACTTTGCTTCTTATGATCATTCTTCTCTTTTACACATAAGAGTAAAAGTGTTCCAGAGAAAATATGGCCAAGAAGCATAGGATGAGAGCCTGTTTCTCACTGGCATGCAAAGAGTAGCTTAGGCACCTTAGCAAGTGGGGGGCCCCTTGGCCTCAGTCTGTCTGACCCTCTTCAAATGGGCCCTCCTTTAACATTTCTCTCTGGCTCCTTTTTTGTCACCAAAGTGCAGACCTACCACATGCTTGGGATGACAAGTCTCCCTGCCGAAAGGCAGATTTTTCAAGGACTGTAGGTTCTGGGAAGGAAGACTCTGTAGGGCTGGGGAGACCTGGAGGCCCTCTAGCCCTCTGGCTAGTCTCAGGCCCCACCTGGTTGTCCCCAAATGGCTCCTGAATGTCTGCTGGCTCTTTGAGTCTACAGGTTATGGGGAGCAGACTATGATGCCTGTTAGGCCACTGGCTGCATTGCATCCCAGTTGATAGGCCCTCACAAAATCACAAAAAAATTAAAGATTGTATGACCTAGAGCAAGTTCCTTGTGTCCCTGGGCTGTGGTTTTCTATAACTCTATAACTCAGTAGTTAGAGCTTTTGTGCCCAATTGAATGGAAGCTATCCCAGCCTTTGGACCACGAGCTCTTCAGAATGCTGAGCTGAGACCTTTTAGTTCTCTGAGACATGGGGTCTCCTACCACAAGCTGCCTGTTCCAACTGCCCTGTCTACCACCTCCTATGTAAACTTCAGTTGGCAAGGCTGGGGTCCACACCATCCATCTCTACCCCAAATACCTCTCCATCCAGGGATCTGCTTCTCCTGGAAACCTGGAAACTTCTCTTTAACTCTTTCACTGTTACATACCAAGCCCACTTGTTCTAAGAAGCTCCATGTTTACCCCTTTTTCTAAGCCCATGAAGCCCTCTTCTTTCAGAAGGTAATGTTACTGGTCTTTTCACATGTCATCATGAGCCAGCCTGAGTATGTGTGACTGTCTGAGCATCTGTGACTATGGAAGTGGAGGGAGAGTGATGATGCTAGGGTTGTATGAGAAGGTGTGTGGAACTGTGTGAGAGTTTGACAGCTTAAGCTCAGTGTGAGAGTTAATGTGTGGTCAGTATGGAGCCACGTAAAGTTGTCACAGGCGTGTCAGTGTGATTGAGTGGGTAACTTGTGTACTAATACCTATGAGATTCAGTGTGAGGTATGTAAGTGTGGTTATGAGTGAGTTGCTTAAAGTCCCTCAGGGGCAGCCTGAAACCTAAGCATCCCACCCCACCTGGATACAATACCCAGTGCCAATCCACCTGGCTCAGCTGTGTATGGCCCTGAGAATACCTGGGTCTGAGTCTGGTGATCAGGTTTACCTTGTCAGAGTAGATGGACATTCGAGTAGTCAGTCCCAGAACAGGGATTCTGTAGAAGCCAGCTGTGTACGAGACAGGGGTGGGTGTGAAGTGGTCGTTGGGGGTGGGCGGGTGACTCACTAAGATAGCATAGACCTGTGGGTACAGGAGACAGAGTCAGCTCTGTGGGGTAGGGTGAACGTTGTACTAGAGTTTGAGGTCCACAAGTAGCAAGATCTGGACTAGCATGCCAGATGGTGCCATTTGTGCACATGGTCCCACATGTCCAAGAGACAGGAGAATGAGCCAGACCACAATGCTCTGGTGATGAAGCCATTGTAGAGAGACAGGCAGCACTGAGTAAGACTTTAGGGATACAGCCACCACACATACACACACACACACACACACACACACACACACACACACACAGACACACACACACACACACACAAAGTTGGCAGATCCTTTCTTCTGACCAGCGCTCATCTCTTGTAAAATGAAGAGGGGGGCAAGTTTCTGAGCAAAACATGGCCTCTGCACTCTGTGTAGAGTGAGGACTGGTTCTCACTCCCCTCATCATAACACCCAGCCCGCACCCTTTAGGTCACATCTAGGCATGCATGTGACTGTTGGTGTTCATGACACATGCTGGAACATGTATGCACTATAAGCATTGAGCATACAAAGCAGTACATACAAAACAGTATGTGCAAATGTGTGTGAGTGAGCATGTGCAGTTGATTGCGTCATATGGAGATGCTAATGCAATGTGTGTGTGCTAATGTCATGTTCAAGTGCATGCATGTGAGCAGACATGCTCATGGATGTAGCTTTCCTTTAAAGAGCATGTATTAACAGCCTTGGCACAGTCCCTGTCCCCATCTTCATCTTACATAAACTGGTGCATTGCACCTTATGGCTTCATTGGAATTCAGCAGCCAGTTCAGTCAGGGGTGGATAGCTTCAACACCACATGTCCTTCCCTGCAGCATGCTGCACTGGCTCCTACACTGTGCCTCGTTGTCTCTGGGCATGCGCAATCTTCACTCCCACCCCTGCAGTGCCTGCTTGCTCTGGCACCTGGGCCATCCATTGTAAACCCATGAATGGGGGAAGGGAAGAGGGGTAAGGAAAGAAACAAAGATGGCCCCACGCCTCATCTAGGGGATGCCCTGAAGTGTTCCTCCATCTTGTGCCCAGAATGTCTAGACCCACACTGACTGGATGGAAGAAATCACTGGTGATAGTCACATGACAGCACACAAGGTCCTTCTGAGGACCAGTCCAGAGGGAACTGGCAGACACAGATGTTTGTTCCGGGCCTCTCCAGGTGCCAGTTGGCTTGGAGTGGTCTGGTAAAGAGACTGAGAAGGACCAGGGAAGAATGAACGGAACTGGGACAGGGGAAGGATGGTGGAGGAGCATCAGAAAGGGGAAGAGGCGGTCACCTGGCTGGAGATGAGGTCCTCACACACTGACAAGGCCATCTGTATGGCGTTGGGCTTGTGGGTGACAGAGGTGGCGTTGAGCTGTATCTTCCAAGAGCCATGTCGCTTATTGGCCTGGTTCACAGCCTCGCGGAACATCTGCTCGTGCTTGCGCGTGCTCAGCACTGCACCGATGTTGACGATCTTGGGGTCGCAGGCGGCGCGGGCGAAGGAGCAGGAGAAAAGCAGGGCGAATGTCAGCAAGTGCATGGTGTTCATGAGCTCCGGGCACGGCGGGCCTAGTGCTGGGTTGCACGAGAGCGACGACCTCGCGAGGTACCACCCGCGGGCCCCCGGCGCGGCAAAGCACCCGCGGGGCCTCCTGGAGCCCGGGGCAGGGGCGGCGGGCGCTGTCCGAGGTGCTGAAGCGTGCTTGGCGCTGCTCGAACACCGGCGCAGAAAAAGCGGAAAGGACAGCCGCGCAGGCTGCGCGGCTGGTCCCGATGCTGCCGCGACTGCAGCCGCTGCGGAGTCATGAGCAGGACCTACGCGTCCTACTCCTCCCACCGCCCCCACTTCCTGACGCTGAGTCGAGGGCGCGCCTACTGACGCGCGCCTGCGTTGGCGTGAACGCTTTGAGCGCGCGCGAGGAGCGCCCACGTGGGTGTGTGCACGCGGGTTAGCCTACAGCGACACAGGGACAATCATCCGTGTGGTCCCAGACCCGCAATAGATGAGCTGGGAAGGCTAATGGGATTCTCATCACCACGTGCACCTGCACCCTTGAGTGTATTTCAACATGAGGGAATTTGTTGTGCACATTTGTGTGTGTGCCCATGCGTGTAGTTACCTGTAGTTTGTAATATTTTGGGGCTTGATTCTTCCAAGGACAGGGAGAGACCCTGTCCCTCAATACCTCTAAGGGAAGGACATTGGTGCCCGCCTCCTGGTAGGGCTCAGTAATGCAGGAAAGAGTTGGGCACACTCTTGAAGCTGAGATAGGATTTTCTAGTGTCCAAGGCTAGCCTGGGCTACATAGTAAGTACCAGGCTAGCCAAAGATACATAACAGGATCTGTCTATATATAAATAACACCAAACTGGGGGGGGGGGGATCTAACCAGACCTTCTTAGATCTGTGACTTAGACTCCCCTCTGGAGGTTAAGAATAAGTGTGACATTGCTGATCTACTATAGAGTGGAGACCTGAGGGAGACTGAAGACAGAGGGAGCTGTTTACAGCAATTAAAGCAAGGTTAGACATCAGGCGGCACAGCAGCCTGGCATGTCTTAGTTAGGTATTTTGTATTTTCTGCTTCCTCTCTTTGACTTCTCTTTAATGTGTTGCCAGCTCTTGCTGTCATTTCCCAGAGCTCTCCTTGATCTTTTGCACCTGGCAATCCTAATTCTTATCCTCCCTTCAGCCACATAGAATACATCCCTTCCCAAATTTAAAGAACAGCTGAAGTCCCACCCCTACAAGTGACATCACTATTTCCAAGAGCAACCAAGGATTTTCTCTACTGTACGTGCTTCCTAGGGACAAAAGAGGTTCTCTCGACACCTAAGTGCTAAGCAGTGCAGGGAAGAATCCTGGACCCTCAGGTTCAAACTCTTGGATCTTCTTGCTAAAACTGTCTTCCAATAGCAGAGGACAGGCAGCCTATGGCATTGTCAAACCCCCTCCCTCAGTCTTGGCTCCCTTTCTTCTCTCTGCTGCCTGGGTTACACGCCTGCACACTCTCTGTTCTGGCACTGAGGAACACAGGGGAAAGGCTCCAGCTGCAGGGCCCTGATGCTTCAACAGCTTTCAGGAAGCCTGAAGCTGACACCATCTGCAGATGGGTTGTGGCCGCCTTCAGACACCTATGGCTGCTGGCAAGTCAGGGCCTGGAGGCTGTGTAGGGGTGGGTCTGTGTTCTCTTACTCCACGATAGGGCAGGCTACCTACCCACCATGCTATCCTCCACCCCCAGGTAGTGCTTGGGACTTCCTTGCTCTAATTGGTACCTTAGAGCTTCCTGCTGAGTATTCAGTGATCAGTAAGCAATTGTTCCCAGCTAGGAATCCGAAATTGACCGTGGAAGATTTGCCAAGCAGCGGGGCTCCCTCCTCCCCAGTACTTTTCTGAAAGCCCATTCGCCAGCATATCCTCTCAGGCCGGGAATCTTCAATCATTTGCTCTAAACTCCTTGGCAAGGTTCCAATAATGAGGGCAGTGAGGAGGCTAGGCCTACATCACCCATCATCTCTTTTGACTCTGTTTTCTATTACTTTTTTTTTCTTTTTTTACCCCCATCATGATTGGCTGCAGTCATAGAAGACACCACTTTTGCTTTTCCCTGCTGCAATAATAGACTGACTGACAAACTGGCTTGGGTCAGGACCTCTCTGTGTCCTGGGGAGACAAAGGCTGTGAACATGACCAAAGATGCTTGGGATTGAAGCCCAGTTTTGCCCCCAGGCCACTGTGGGGGAAGTCCTGTTCTGCAAAGAGCACCATTGAAGGAGGCTGTTGATGCTCATGGCTCTATCCATGTTCCTCAACTGCACTGGCAATTGCAGCCCAACGGTGCCCTCTCAAACTTCTAGTTTTAGTCAGTCAAACGCAAGACCTATTGACCTCAGTTTATAGACAAATATGGAATTTTTTTTGCTGTTGTTTTGTTTTTTCAAGACAGAGTTTTGTCTCTGTGCAGTTCTGGGTGTCCTGGAATTCACTCTGTAGACAAGGTTAGCCTCAAACTCAGAGCTCTGCCTGCTTCTGCCTTCCCAAGTTCTAGGTTGAAAGGTGTGTGCACCACCACTTGGCCATATATAGACTGTTAACCAACCCAGGCTGGGTTTGTCCCTCACATCTCAGATTGGAAGTTGGGATAAGAAATAGGTTCTGGCCAGGCATGGTGGCACACGCCTATAATCCCAGCACTCAGGGAGGCAGAGGCAGGCAGATTGCTGTGAGTTCAAGGCCAGCCTAGTCTACAAAGAGAGTCCAGGACAGCCAAGGGTAAACAGAGAAACCCTGTCCAAGAAAGAAAGAAAGAAAGAAAGGAGGAAAGAAAGAAAGGAAGAAAGAAAGGAGGAAAGGAAGAAAGAAAGAAAGAAAGAGAAATTCAAATTCAAATGAAACATTAAAAAAACTTTTTACAGATACAATCAAAATATACAGTAATTTGGTACATGTTTAGGAATTAATGGTAGTAAAACAATAAGGTATTTGTTTTATATGATTAAACCATTATGTTTCTGTGAGGAGAGAAAGCTTGATATATACAGTGAAAACCCTGGAATCCATAACAACAACTCTAAGTCAAGGTGTTTCAGGCAGCCTGTTGTATTACTTGTTATAACATCATGTGCAAAGGACACATGTTGCTTGCTAACCAAGGCTTCAGTGAATTTGCACTGCATAACGTGGTTACCCTGGGAAAGGTGCTTTGTATATGTTCGTACAGGAGGGAAAAAACCATGGATCCCATCCAAGTTGAAAAAAATCAGATATGACAGAGGGAAACTCCCTGAAGATCTAAGCCACACACAAGAAAAAATAAATGAAGACCAAAACAGGTAATATATTGCTGGTTTCTCTATTAGTAATAGCTCTTAAAATGGCTGAAACATAAATGCCTATGCTTAGCTACAAAATCCTCAAAACTTCTTATGCCATTCTTTTTATGGCATAAATAAAAATTATAATGCAATTTGGCAATATAGTCCAAACTAGCTTGTAAAGAAGACAGATATATTCTGTGACTACTTTATAAACTCTAACCCTGTGGTTGCAGTTTTAGACACAGATGACGTTTATTCCTCTGGTTCTAGCAGTGGATGTAGGGCTGAGTGTTCTGGGAGCATCAGCATTCCCTTCATCACTCGTCTTATCATCTCATAAGTTCCCTTTCACTTTTTGTAAGTCATCCCTTTAAAAACAGAACTAGCATCCTGCAGACTGCACTAATTATGTTTTGTGCAGTTGGGATAATGATCTGTCATAACCATACTTTTCATTTTTTGCTTTTGTTTTTTTATTTTTTGGAGTTTTGGGGGGAGGCATTTCAAGACAGGGTTTCTCTTTAGTCCTAGCTGCCCTGGACTTACTTTATAGACCAGGCTGGCTTCAAATTCAGAGATCTGCCTGCCTCTGCCTCCCGAATGTTGGGATTAAAGGTGTGCACCATCACAGCCCAACTTGAAGATAGATGTCTTTCATCTGCTCAGAGAGCAAAGGATCATCTTTGATTGGCCTGTGCAATTTACACATTCCATGTATGTGTGGTTACAGAGCTGTATATTGCTTGTGAGAGCTTATATGTTTACAGAACAAAAGGACCAGACACCAACGAGGTTGGAGCAGACCTGCCCACATTCATCCTCCAGGATGCTGAGATGCACTTATTCCAGCATTTTCCATGATCCAGACTCAGACTGCTTCAGTTGCTGTTCCTTCTAAGCTTCTTCCAGGACAGCTTCAAGAAAAGATGCTAATCCCAATTGGTCCAGCTTCACAGACTGTTCCAAACAGGACTTCAATTAAGTCTGTATTTTCCCAGCATTCAGAGACTGGACAATAAATGTTATTGCTAGCTTGCTTAACCATTTTCTCCATTTTCCTTTGGGCCCCCCAAAAGGTATTCTATGCCCCAAAATCAGCAGGAAGTAATCTCAAGAAGAGCAACGTCCCATTTGCTTAAGGTGGGATGGGTAGTTTTTGGCTGTTCTATTGGGTAATGAATGTTTGTTATAATAAAGGGGTTGGTTACAAATTATTAAAATGGTCTTCTTGATCAGGAAAAAAAAACCCCAAGATATAGGAACTTTGACTCAGAGATTTCTCTTTCCTTTTATTGTTATTCTCAAAGATTTTTAAATTGACACAGATTATTTTTATATGTTGATACAATTTTAAAGTTATTTTTGATACACATAATGAATGTATGTATGTTTCAAATTTTGTATAAGGTATTGGACCTTTGCAACAAGGTTTAAGCTGGGCATGGTGGTGAATGCTTGTAATTCCAGCACTCAGGGAGGCAGAGGCAGGCAGATCTCTGTGAATCTGAGGCCAGCCTGGTCTACAAAGCGAGTCCAGGACAGCAAAGGCTACACAGAGAAACCCTGTCTTGAAACAAACAAACAAACAATACAAGGTTTGCTTCTAGTCCTTTTTAAAGGTGCTGTTACAAACAGTTTAGGATAGTTAGCAAGTTAATAGTCAATCAAATTCATAGTCATGCCAGATATCAGTCTAGAGCATCACAGAAATATACATTCTAGGTTAAACAGATAGTAAATGAGCAAACACAGGCAACATTTCCCTGTTCAGATTTAGTCTAGATAGATAGATAATGATTATACACTATGTAATATATACAGATAGATAGACGGTCTTCAAAAACCTCAGAGACCTACAGAATTTGGCATTTAAAGATGTTTTTATTGTTTTAAGACTTTTCTGGAAATGAAACATAACAGCTCCTGACAGTCTATCTCAAAGAAGATGATGGGCATTGAAGACCTCCAAATGTGGCAAGCTAGCCACTGGACAAAGAAATGCTCTGTTCCCTCTATAGACAAAATGCTGTTCAAAATGGGCAAACTTGGGAGGCGG